TAAAAATATCTCTGTGACAGACCCCACTCTAAACAATGTGGCTCCAGGAATCCAAAGACGTTAAAATTCATGAACAGGAAGCTCTTGTCTTGAGATGATGTTGGACTTTACAACAGTCTTCAGAGCAGCCTACCAAATACCCAACCCACATTAACACTGTGAAAGCACTGCATACACACAAACATTCGACTGAGAATGAGGAATTAACCACCATCAGTAATCAAATCACTCTGTGTCTAATTACAAACAGTAGAGGCACTTGATTATCATCGAAGACAACCCTGGCACATTTTTATAAAGCAAAGGTAGACTGTACCATGCGCATATACAGTATGTAACTGGGTAAAAATGAGGCACACATGGTTTTAATATTGTCTTAAATCATGAATGCCAAACATAAATTAATCTTCTCAAAATGTAAATTTTAAGTGTTAAACAAGGTTCCAGAGCTGGAGTGCTGTCTGTGTAGAGTTAGTATGTTCTCTCTGTGTTCACATGGGTTTCCTGCAGGTGCTCCGGTTTCCTCCCACAATCCAAAAACACGCTGGTAGGTTAATCCTAGGTTAAGTTTTGGGAAAATTGGCTCTGGTGTGAATGTGTGTTTGTGTCTGTGTGTGCTTTCTGATGGATTCACTTGCTGAGATAGACTCCAGCTCCACCATGATCCCGTATTGGATGAAGCAGTTACAAAAATGGATGGATGTTAAACAAAAAGAGCTAAATATATAGTTTTCTTACTTAAATTAAATTGGTTCTTTTTTTATTAAGTCTTAAAGTAGTCCTAAATTAAGCTGAAAATTACCTGATGGTCGGGTATTCAGCATTAGAGTATACAAGCAATATAATTTTCCTAGCGAGTCCACTTAACTGAAAGTCGCAATGTTCTCTCACTGTCTTTTTAAGTACCTTTTATTGTACCTGATTCCCAATGTAGAGCCCTGTACAAAAGTTTATATACCTGTATATTATATACACAGTATAATGCTTGGCCACTTACAAACAGTTGCACAATCCATTGTTTTTATTGTTCACGTACAGTTAATCATATCTAGAAATAATCAGGACAAATGCAATGTAAATAAAACAGTGATATTGTTCCTTATTGTGTAGGTGTTTAGTATAAAAGTCCTGCATAAAGGTGAATGTCTTTGGATTGACAATTGGTTATGCATAAAAAACAGAGAACAGATAAGAGGAAAGCATTCAAATTGGGGTGACGGAATTAATGATGTACCACAGGGATCTGTATCATGACTACTGCTTTTTCTGATTTATATTGATGATCCATAGTCTGTTGTTATGATCAAGCTTACTGGTTATACTAAACTGGAAAGATTAGCAAACGCTATAGCACCAACAAAGTATATTCAAGCAGGCTTGACAAAGACCCAGACTGAGCAAACACCTGGCAGATTACATTTAGTTTACATTAGTCATGTGTGAGGATGAGATTTAATTATCTACTTGGAAATTGGCTGGATGGGCCAAATGCCCGCCTCTGTTTTGTAACATGTCTTATGTTGATCACTTTTGTCATGAACTGACATTCTGGAATCACAAACAACTAACAACTGAGACAAGCAAATAATGGGAGCCATCACTGGTATTTGTTAAAAGACAGTCTTCTTTAATTGTTAAGTATGCAGCAATCCATACAAAACAGGTACTGTAAGTGCAAAGCAGGTATTTATGTTTTATATAACACTTCTCTATACTTGGTTGACATTCGTCTGCAGCCAGTTTACTAAGTGCACGTTCAAATAAGCAAACTGTACAAATAATCTACAGTATATATTCTTTCATATTGTTCAATTGCACATCGTCATTGTTAGATTCTAATTCCTATTGACAATGCTGCATCCGTGACACTGTCCTTGTTACTGAACATACTGTAAACCAGTTCAATAAAAGAAGGAGTAACAATATATGATAGTCTTCTGCAACTCCTAAGAGTACCTAGGCAAGACACCCCAGAACTATAGTTCGTGTGTGCCACTCTTGCTTAACACATCACATACCCATTCAAGTACCAGTGACGCAAATCTATGATAACCAGGAGGGCTACTCCCCACACTCTGTGTATGACACAATGTGCAGGTAAATAAGGACATGCTGTCAACCGACTCAGTAAGGAACGAGCTTATTACTGGTGCTGGCTATTAACACTTTAAACAGAAGGAAACATATCGGGGCACATCAGGAAAGGGATGAACTGCACAGAGAAACCTGTACTACAGTGGGCATTAAAGTAGACTACAGAAACGCCAACAAAGGAAACGTTTAGTTGGTGATTCCGATTAGTTGACTGTGATGGATCTATCTCTGGCACAGTGTAATAATTTCCATGCCCCTTCTCTCCTAAAGGACTGCGTGGTGTGATTTGACTAGTTCGAAACAAGATCCTGGCTGACAGTGTGACAGTTTTCAGTTGTAAACATACCTGGTCCCAACTTTTGATATAGAAGACCTAATCTTCTAAGACTTTTTATATCGTATAAGACTTATTAATGGATATCTTACATAGATAATAGATATCTGCCTCCCCACAGCAGTAACTCTGGAGATCATGCAGATACAAAGCGACCAAAGGTTTTGATTGTCTGCCAATCATCAGCATCGTCAAATTTAATTAACAGTCACCTCACCTGATATGCGACTTGAAGTTAACTTTACTTTTATTGATGCCTTACTCAATAATTCTTAAAAAAACAGAAATCAATGAAAAAGGAAATAAACAGGCATTTCTTGTAGCTCGATTCATGCAAACCGTTTGAGACGTTATGGAATGGATTTGTCTGGGTATTGTTGTTATACTTGGCATAACCATTGTGTCTTAATAAATAATGATACCTTTAGGTTTAAACCTTCATATAAGCAGAGCTCCTGTATATGGGTTTCCAAAACTAATCAGTAAATATATAAACACAGCTAGTCCCTTTTCCTATTTTAACACTGTAATCATATAAGCACATTATTTAAGCTGAATTTGGTAATTGAACATATTACTCCTCCATCTGGCAAAAAAAAGTTAACAGGGATTTAAAAGGAAAAACACCGACCCCCCATTTAGAAAGAAATATATTCTTAAATGACTACTTCTCATAAAAGAATGGGGGGAAAAACTGGCACAGGTGAAACTTCTTTATTGCATCAGTGAGAGATGAGAAGTCACTGATCCTTAAAACCACTGATTTCATTGAGTGTTTTGACTCCACATGAAAAGGTTGTTGAGAACATTAGCTTCAGTCTTCTTCGTACATAAAAAATAATAATGGCTTAAATTTAAGCCTACAGGTGGTGTGGCAGGTAGTACCACCCCCTCACAGCTCTAGGGTACTAGGTTCGAGCCCAGCTTGGAGCGCCTGGTGTGGCCCTTGCATCTACTTCCCATGTCCGTCTTGGTTTTCCCCAGGTGCTCCAGTTCAAAGACATGCTGGCTAGTTTAAACATTGTCTCCAGAGTGTTTCTTCTTGCTTGTGTGCCTGTCTGGTAATGGACTAGTGTCTCTTCCAGAGCGTAGTCCAGTCTGCATTCTCTGCCACAACCCTTACCAGGAATACTGGCTTTCTGATGATGGAATGATCTGCATCTAAATGTTCAAAACAGACATAAGAGCTTTGGAAACTCCAAAAATGTATATGGAAGTAGGTAGTTGCATCAGCATGCGCAGGCTGCAAACAAGGCTCTACAGCCGAAATATTTTGTCTCTTTTCTTTTCCTTTCAGCATGGAATAAACCCATATCTCTTCCTATAAACATATATTGAAAGTGTGGTAGTTCAGTCTTGAAAGATTGAAGACAGCAGCTTGCTGTCTGAAGATTGCTGCTTCCTTGTACATCACTTATAATTAGTGTTCACTGTCAGGCATCTGCGCATGTATACTAGATATCTGACTTTTAAGATGTGTTACCGTATTCATGTAGCTTATGCATAATTAGGTACTGAAGAGTGGTACGGTCTCAAAATAAAGGAATATCCAAAATAATATAATAATCCTGTCTCATTTGATATAGTCTATAATTGACAGTTCCTTCCTCAGTGTCTAAAATTAATTATTGACTTACTAGAAGTCTTCATATGCAGCTACCTAGTTTTCACTAGACAAGAATGCAGCACCAAATATTGAGCCCACAATTAGATCTAAGAGCTGACATTTTTACATCATTTCAGGTCCAGAAATCAAAGCATGATGAGAACAGAAGACTCTCATCTTTCATTCATCCTGAGCGCCTGATTGATGAGTTAGTCCACATTGGGTCATTTAATTGCTGACTCTTATGCTGCTGTTTGACAATTTGAAATGAAAGGCTTTGCTAAGTGCTGGTTTTGTTATTTGTGAAGGCTGGAAATGGATTTATAAATTGAACTTGTGAAGATGTTTCAGCAACAAAGCACTGCCAGTCCCTTGTTGTGTTCTAAATCTCCTTTTAAACTAGAATGGTGTCTGGACCTTTACTGACCCACGACCACTGAAAGTGGCCACCTGAAAACACTAGTCTTTTGTGTGACTAAAAAAAAACATTTTCAAATAAAAGGATGAATGTTATTGCACTAAAATAGATAACACGAGGATAGAATACTCTACCACCCAGACCAAGATGCTCGCTTCTTAGCAAAAGCACATTTCTTACGACATTTTGAATGCTTATGAGGTCTTTAGACCCCCTCAGGAATTGCAGCTATATTTATCCCGATATACATACGGTTTTTAGTACAATACAGTGCCAAATGGAAATCCGAATACAGTCAGAACCCTCAAGATGCTCTGGTACTCCCCAGATACCAGATCACAGAACAACTTTCAAAATTTCGCCTTGTAGAAGAACCATTTTTGTTTCTTGACTTGTTGAAAATAGGCACCGGTAATGTAAGAAATCGTGATTCACTACGCTACACGTCCTGGGTTTTAAACAGTCTGTTCCTGTTAATTTAGCTATAAGCTGTGTGTTTGTCTAAGAAGACGGAAGTAACCAAGTGGCCAGATGTGTTTATTACTTTCCCTTCTTGCCTTTTGCTTTGGCCCTCGTTTTGGCCCTGGTGTTGACCTCAGACGGCGGGGCAGGGGAGGGCTGCGGCTTGCGCTTAACCTCCACGTCCTCGTCCTCGTCATCGCCCACCGCCTCGTCCCCGTTCTCTTGCTGGTGCTGCCGGCAGTGGCGCTCGAAGGTGGCCATCTTGGCGTAGGTCTTGTTGCAGACCATGCAGTGGTAGGGCCGCTCGC